AAGTTCATCGAACTTGGTTAAGTGGTTATCAAGATATCTTTGCTCAAAGTTTCAAGAACTTTTTGTATCAATTATCTTGATAAATGTTTTAATGAGCGAAGGTATCTTGGCAACCACTTAACTAAATTCAATGAAATTTTTTATTTTGATTCTATATATCTGTAGAATCAAAATAAATATATGTATATATTAAATCTGATAAAGAAAGTTACTAAGATAGCTTTGTTCAAAATTAGAAAAAAAATTGAATTTTGTGAGCATCAGTCGACTTGTAAAATTGTATACAATAAAAGAGGAATTGACAAGTTACTTTTACCGGCCACGTAATCGTATGTAGGGATGTTAACGGAGTGCTACAGGGTGATGTGGTGTATGCTCTGGCAGGGTATTCGAAAAGCAAAAGACAGTTAATTCTGAAAATCTTAATGATTAATTGAAAAAATTATTATCTGGTAATAATTTATTAATTTCATGGATTCCATTTAATGAATTGGAATTTAGAGGAAAAATTGGAAATGTGGATTTGCAACTGTGTATTCATCTTATTGGAATCACACAAGTACAAATGGTGATCCTTTAGGCCAAATGGTTGCACTTAAGTTATTTCATGGGTCAAAAAATAGTTACGAGGGAACTTGTAAAAGAGTAAATATTTGATACGTTAAAGTTTTATAGATCCAGTTACTGTATTATTATTTATTGGCATTTTTTTAAAATTTAAAGTTGATTGCAAATTCAAATATTGGATCTAAAAATTCTACATTTTACAATGCTTTGGAATATCAAAAAATGAAAGCACAGATGATTATATTTTAGTTATGCAATATGCAGAAATGGGATCTTTACGTAAGAATCTTTATGGAATTACACAAATGAAATGGGGGAAAAAATTAGAATTATTATCTTATATCGCATTCGATTCTATTAATTCATTCTGATAATATTATTCATTGTGATTTACATAGTGGTAATATATTTCAAGATAATTTACATAATGCTTATATCAGTGACTTAGGATTTGCAACATCAATTAATAAAACATTCGATAAAGAATCTAAAGGAGTTTTACCATACATTACACCAGAAGTTTTGCAAGGAAAACCATTCACAAAAGCAACAGATATCTATTCTTTTGGAATGATTATGTTGTAATTTCCAACTATAAAGATGATAATTTGAGATTGGCGTTAGAGATTTGTGAAGGTTTATTATTAATGGATAGGAGCTTGCTCATTGTACTACCGGTAGTACATTTTTTAAAGTTTATAAAAAATTTAAAAAATTATATATTCAAATAATTTTTATATACAAAAATTTGATAAATACTCTAGTTTAACTGCAATGTACACTAGTAGTACACTTTTAAATCAATTTAAATAATTAAATTATTAATAAATTTTACAAATTTAAATGTTAACTATATAAATTATTTAGAAATCTTATTTATTTAAAAATTATTATTAGTTATATTGTAATAATTATTACTTGTGGTATAAGCTTAATTTAAGATTTATTGAAAATTATTACTATATAGTAAACTATCTAAGTTTAACTCAAATTTAATAAAAATTTTATTAATTAAATTTTTTAAAATTTCTAACCAAAGTTGTAAATTTTTACCTTTTAATTATAATTTCAAAATTTATTTTAATATAAAATTAATTTATCTTAAATTATATTACTTTAAATTTTAAAAAAATTGCATCTAGTTTTTAAATATAAATTTTAAAAAATTTTATATAGTAAAAATTTTAAATATAAAAAAATTTCTATAAAATGTTAAAAAATACTTAGAGTTACTAAACTTTAAATATAAGTTGCCCAATATACATAATACTTTATTCAAATATTTAATAGCTTATTAATTTGTTAAATTAGTAGATAATTGCTTTAAAAGTATATCACAGTGTATTACTGGTAGTATGGGTTGCTTCTATCCATTAAAGATACAGCATCATGCCATGTAATCTTTTAAAGAAATGTTGGGATAAAAAATGACCAGAAATTCATGAAACTATTTTAAAATGGAAAAATAGTACTGAAATTTTGGTTGATTTTTTAAAATCTGATAAAGAAATAAAAATTAAAAATTTTAAATCATTTCTATAAACTAATAGAATTTATTTAAAAAAATTTATTGAATTCTATCAAGAATTTATTATAGTTTTGATAATATGAAAGATAGTATGATTCATACTAGCAAGTTTATTAGTTATATTAATCAACAACAGTCAATTAGGCACATAAGCACTAATGAAATTACTTCTAATAATAAGATTTATATTGAAGATATTAGAAAGTGTAAGGAAGTAATCAGTAATATTAATGTATTTGAATAAAAGTTATTCAAAAAAAAAAAATATCATATACTATATTTAATTTCAATTATCGATTTTATTTCAATAAATTATAATGACAACCTATATTATAAGATACTTTCTACATTATATTTATGGGATCTCTTCAACTCACTAACAATCACTTCAAAGACACCACATTTTACCGAACCCATTTTACTAACAAGATTTTTTTTTACAGGTGATTACAGCTGTTTTTATAAATTCTTAGACACTCTAAAAAAATTTGTCGAAGTCTATTTAGCCAAAGTCGATAAGTTATTAATTTTGGTATGATTAGTATAATAAAATAATTAAAAAAAGCTATTTTTGGATCATAATGATCATTTTACAATACAATAATGTCAATAATTTTAAATTTTTATTCAAATGCTTGTTTAACATGTTTGGTACATTTAGTTTGTATGAGAATTTATAGAAAAAACTGTTCATGTCAACCAATAAACCTTAACAAGAAATGTAAAAAAGAATCAAATATAAACTAGTCTTTTATAATAAATATATTACTCAAACAGGTGCTGCTATTAAAAAAGTTAAATATGATCATGAATTTGTCAACTGGTTATTATTAATATCTATTGAGAATGCATAAAAAATTATGATAAACTAAATCAAAATAAAAAATTTAAGTTTATATTATTATATATATATTTTTCATCTTTGACAAAATAATTAGAAATAAATAATGCTTTTATATAGATCTTGCCAAAAGATTAAAAATTGAAATTTAGTTTAATTTTTTAATACCGAATTTTTTATCTTTGACAAGAAACAAAAAATAATTAGAAATGAATAAATAAATGTCTTCATTTAAATGAAAATGGATCATACAAAGAATAGGATCAAAATTTAGTTTAATTTTTAAGCCTGAATTTTTCTTCTTTAACAAGAAATAAAAAATAGTTAAAAATGAATAATGCCTTTGTCTGAATGAAAATAGATCTTGCCAAAGAATAGAAATTGAAGTTTTATACAATTTTTTAAAAACCAATTTTCATCAAAAAACAATTAGAAATAAATAAAGGCTTTGTTTGAACAAAAATGTTTGTTAAAGAATAGGATTTGAAATTTTACACAATTTTTTAAAACAAAATTTTGTCGAAAAATAATTAGAAATAAATAAAAGCTTCATTTGAATAAAAATAAAACTTGCTAAATAATAGTAATTGAAATTTTATTTAATTTTTTAAAAACAAAATTTTGTCAAAAATTAATTAAAAATGAATAAAGGCTTCATTTAAATAAAAATGAATCTTGCCAAAGAATAGAAATTGAAATTTTACACAATTTTTTAAACCTGAATTTTTATTGAAAAATCATTAAAAATGAATAAAGACTTCATTTGAGTAAAAATATATTTTCCCAAAGAATAGAAATTGAAATTTTACATAATTTTTTAAAAATGAGTTTTTGTCGAGAAGTGAATAAAGGCTTCATTTGAGTGAAAATGGATTATGCCAATAAATATTAATTTTAGTCTTACTGCTATATTGTAATTTATATTAGTTATCTAATCTTATTAAATTACATATCCGTTACAGAATCTTATTATTTCTGAAATCAATAACTTATCAACTTTAGCTGAATAGACTTTGGCAAATTTTTTTAAAGTGTCTTAGAATTTATAAAAACAGCTATAATTTATCAACATTTAATTTATCGACATGTTTGTTTTACAGACAAGTTAATTTTCACCAACACAAAAATTTACTGAAAATCAGCTTACTGACAATTTAAATTTACAGACAAGCTCTCTTTACCATCACTAGAATTCACTGACAATATATTTCAACAACAATAAAAAGGGTAGAACTGTATCTAGCAAGAATTTTTCACTAGATATGGTCCTACCTAGTGTTGGCAGTAGAATTACTAAATTATAGTATTCTACTATATCGTAGAATTAATTATAGCAAAGAACCTAATTGCTGTAATGCCGCAATCTCATAATGTTACAATACCATAATGCCATAATGTCACAATGCCGTAATATCTTAATACTATAGTATCTTTGTAGTGTACTAATATGATACCATTGTTAAACCCAAAACTGGGGACATCTAAAGCGGAGATAATTCATGTGATATTTGCTATAACTATAATTAGCCAATTATTGCAAAAATTATAATTGGCCAAAGGTAATACTAGGCTTCAGATATGTATCATCATTGCATCATCACACATTTGATTTATTATCACAAAAAATTTTTTTTGATTTTTATATAAGGCACGATTTTTTTTTTTTTTCTTATAATAAAATATTTATAAGCGTTTTTTTTTTCTTTTGTTTTTAGCGTAGGTTTTTTTTTTTTCCTGTAATAAACTAATAAATTGATATTTGGACCGGTTAATGTTATAAAATTAAATTAACTCGGTAACCCGACTTTGAATTTTTTTTTAAATCACTAAATACTGTAGCTTTAGATTGTTTTTCTATACAATTTATCAGGGTTTTGTAAATAATAGAACTTTGGAGGTCTACAAACTTCGTATGTAAAATTTTATTTCCTTGTCTTTGCTTTTATAATGCTTAATAGTGTTAACGTTCACTTTTTTTATTGGTGTACTAAGAAACTTACAAAGAAGAAAAAGGGAACAGAAAAAAACAAAAACAAAAAAATACATAAATTTTATCTTTCGGTTATGTCTGTTTCTCCCTTGGGCGTCACGTTAACTACTCCTTCTGGTGTTCTGCCTTCTGTTCCCTCGAGTGTCGCATCTTTTGTCTCTTTAGATGTTACATCTACAGCTCTCTCTGGTGCCATGTTTATCACCACACCTTGTGCTGTCGCTCTTTTGGTTTTAATATCAGCATCGCTCACACCAGATGAAAAGCGTAATTATCTTTTTGATGTAAATGGTATTTTGGAAATACAAAGTGAAGACTTTAATGACAACTGGTAGCCAGTAGTCTCTAATATTTGGACACAATGGGATTCTTACAAACATGTAAATGGCAATATTTGAAAGGTTTTTACTTGCCACTTTACTAAGTATTGTGAATCAAGTTCCCAAGAGAAAGAGAATATTCCAAATGAAAAACGTAGAGTGACAAAGACATGGCCATCTGGCTTGTGTCATGCAAAAATTGAAGTTTCTTGGTTTGTTGCTTCAAATATAGTCCAGATTAAATGATATAAAAACTCTCCCGACCACGTGCACTCTTTATCAAAGAGCGATAGGATAAAGTGGTCAAAGGTTGTCTAAGATTTAGTTGAAAATGAAGCAGTCAAAAACTATCCTCCTCTTGCAATCACATCGGCAGTTAAAGAATATGCAGCAAATAAATTAGGCCTTGACACAAGTTATGTGAGCTAATACACAAAGAAGTAACAAACATTAAATACAAAGTTTATGGGCCAATAGAAGCTCATCTAATTGAAAATTCAAATTTAAAGTTAGATATATCAGAATCCATATCTTATTTGATTGAAAAGGGTTATCTTGTTGAAAGGTATTCCATTTCTCAACGATCTACTAAGAGTATTGTGTTTGTGTATCCGTATTAACTAAAAAAACTTGAAAGACATGGGTGGTTGACATTAATTGACTCAACTCACAAGACCAATCAGTATAACTGGCATTTGTTTACGCTTTATATTCGTGATACTTATAGTTGCTAGAACATAGAAGCTCACTTTTTTGTAAGTAATAAAGATAGTGACACAGTTGCTGAAGCACTGTTGATTGTTTATAAGAAGTGCTGTCGTTGGTCTTCCCATTATATGCTTTTAGATCAGAGCAGCATTGAGGCCAAAAGTATTTTAAAAACTTTTCTGGTATAACCACCAGTAAGCAAGAATGCCAAGTTATTCTTTGTATCGTTCATGTTATAAGAACATGGATGCAACAAATATATAAAAAAGAAATCTGTGACATTATGATCACGACAATACACAAATGAATGAAGGTTGGCTGTGAAAGCCTTGTTCAGGACGCTATTGGTCGTTGCTCTGTGCCAGCTATAAAAAATTATATTAAAAGGAACTGTATGAATAATACACAGCAATGGGGTTTGTGGTTTGTTAGCACTCTCCCTTGCTTTTACAAGTTACATCTACAAATCCTTTGGAGTCTTTTCATAGTGAATTGAAGAAAATAATGTCATCGTTACATAGTTTAATCGGTATATATAGTGTTTTTTATTAGTGTTTGATTTTTTTTTATCTATTTATTTATAATTTTTTTATTTTATTTTAGGTGCTGTTCATAGTATTGTTAATATTGATTGTAAAAAAAGATCTGAAGTGGAAAGTGCTGCTTTTAACTTTCATATTAAAAAAACATCTGCCTATGGAGTCGATAACAATATTATGGAAGAAATCTATAAGTTTCCTCTTCCATTCCAAAACCTACTTATTAGAGAGGCTTGTAGTGTAATTAATAGACTTGAAAAGGGAAAAGGAACACCGGGTTTAACTTTGCTTGATTGTCACTGCCTTTTTATAATCGATATTTATTGCCATGTAAACATATTTTTCATGAGAATATGTATGGTAATAAGTTGCTAACTGCTGAGATATGGAAAAGGTTTCAGGAAATGTTTGAAGAAAGTGGATTCGAGGTATATAAAAGTTGGGGTCATTTGTAGAATATGTGCAGACACAGCAACAAAAAGGAGCCAAAAATCGAAGAGTTTCTGTAGTTGAACTAACAGAAAGAATATGTGACAAGTACTGGCGTGTTGAAGAATCAAGGGACGTTGGAAGGGTGGAAGCTTATATCTCTACACTAGAGGCTTCCTTAAACCCAATTATGTTACAATTTAATTAAATGTAAAAAATTAAATTGATTAAATTTTGAATTAAATAAATTTTAAATAAAATTTAATTTTTATTGTAATTTGTAACATATATTTTTTTTTATTACAAAATAATTTTTTATTAAATTTTAATTTTATTATTTTATTTTATTTTTTTTATTTAACTAATGTTTGATATTTATTATCCTCTTAGGTTTTATCTACATATTCATTGTCAAGTCGTTTTCCGATTTATTTATTATGCTCTTTTAAGTTTTGTAAATTTCGTTACAACAAATCTATATTGGCGTATATTATTGTTTGCTTTATATATATATAGCTAATGATCGATATAGGCTTTTTTATTAGTCATCTTGTCATTCTTTAAGATTTTCTACAGTAATTTTACATTTCTTTATTATACTTTTTTTAGTTTGAATACTTCTTTGCAACAAAACTTAGATCAAATATTGACATCCTTTCAGTTTATACAACTCACTCTTGCTATAGTGAACTCTCGTTATAATGAAGATTTGATAAAGTGAAAACTTTTGAATTCCGGAATTATTAAACTTAACTTGATATAGTGAAGTACATACAGTATTCACTCGATATAAGCTATAGTGAATATTTTTTTCAGCCCAGAAACTTCACTAATGAGAGTGAGTTGTACCTATTAATTAGGATCAAATAGAGCTCTAGATTACGCCGAGACTCTAAGTTTGGGTTATCGGAATTATAAGATTCACTTATCAGGAAGAATTAAAACAAAATACTTATATGAATAAGTGGTTGAACTTTTTTGAGTTCTGCTTTATTGAAGGTAAATATCGATTGCTTATATTCTTTTAATTACTTAACTAATTTCTTCTATAATTTAACTGTGCTATGCCATTTGCATATTATTACCAGAAGTGGTAATTTCGCTTTCACGTTTTATTTAGCTTCATTCATTCTCATTAATTTAGTCAGGATCAATTTACGTTTGAATTTTTATTCAAGTTTATTTATCACTTGAAATCACACTACACCTTTTATTTAGGTTCATCTTTTTCGAATTATTCTAGTTGGTAAATATAAAGATCTTATTAATTGGTATATTTAAATTTGTTACGTATTAGCATTTTACAATTACAGTCAGACCTCTCTAAGTGCATGCTATTAGGACCACATTTTAACAACATGCATATAGAGAATAATAAGAAAAAGTGCGTTCAAGTATATGTTTGGGCCAGCACTTGAGCATGCATTTAGAGAGGGTGTGCACTTATAGAGGGTGCACTTAGAGAGGTCTGACTATATACTAATTTTATTCTCATTAATTTATACTGATCGTGTTTTTTATTTAGTTCACTTTATTTATATTAGTTGGCGAGTTTGTAGAGCTTTTATTAACTAACATGTTTGAATAAGCTATTCAAGTTAATGGCATTTACTGTTCATTTATTCGTGCTATATTTTTCATTTAGATTCATCCTAATCGCATTATTCCAGTCAATTAATAAGTATAAGATCTTATTTTATTGTTATGTTTGAATAAGCTATTCAAGTTAATGGCACTTTACTGTGCTACATCTTTCATTTAGATTCATTCTAATCGCGTTACTCTAGTCAATTAGTAAGTATAAGAACTTATTTTATTAACTAGTATGTTTGAATAAGCTATTCAAGTTAATGGCATTTACTGTTCATTTATTCGCTCTATAGATTAATTTTAATCATGTTACCTCACTCAATTAGTAAGGTTAAGATCTTATTTTATTAACTAGTATGTTTGAATAGCTATTTAAGTTAATGACATTTACTCTATATCTTTCATTTAGATTTATTCTAATTGCATTATTCTTGTCAATTAGTAAGTATAATATCTTATTAATTAGTGCATTTTAATCTGAGTACAGTCAGATCTCTTTAAGTGCATGCCCTTGGGACTACACTTTAATAACATGCATATAGAAAATAATAAGAAAAGTGTAGTCAAGTATATGTTTGGGCCAGTACTTAAGCATGCATTTAGAGAGGATGTGCACTTATAAAGAGTTCATTTAGAGAGGTTTGACTGTAGTATGATATTATCATGCTAATTTCATTCTCATTAGTTTGTACGGATTTTTATTTACAGTCAGACCTCTCTAAATGCACCCTCTATAAGTGCACACCCTCTCTAAATGCTGGCCCAAACATATACTTGAACGCACTTTTTCTTATTATTCTCTATATGTATGTTGTTAAAGTGTGGTTCTAAGGGCGTGCACTTAGAGAGGTCTGACTGTATTGATATTTTCAGATTTACTATTCAAATTCACAATATTTACAATTACAGAATTAACATTATATTTTTTATTTTAAAATCTTTTATTCTGTAGTATTGTAATTGTTATAATATTTATCATATTATATCTTTCATTTAGGTTTACTTTAGTCGCATTATCTTATCCAATGCAGCATGAAGATTTTATTAATTGGCATATTAAAATTTTCCATACTACTTGCTATTCGCTAATTTATTTTCATTAGTTTAAATTTGCCCTTAACTTATCACTACATTATATCTTTTATTTAGGCTTATCATATTCATTCGAGTTTAAGAATCTTTATTTATTGGTATAAATTTTATTTTATATTTGAATTTGCTATTCATTAGGGGGTTTCAAAGTTAAAGCGCAGAAATCTAATTTTAATTGAAATTAATGACTTATTTATTTTGAAATAAGCGATCCGGTAATCTTCAATTTGAACTAAAGTTTTACTTTTTATTTTTTTTTTCTTATTCTCATTAATCTAATTATTTTACTTATGCGCATTAATTTAGTTTATTACAGTATTATTTAATATTATACGATCTATCGTTTAATTTCATTTTATTTATTAATTTAGTTTGTGGGTTTTATTTACTTGTAATATTTTATTTAGTTTTATTCAAAACAATATTAATAAATAATAGTCTAATTTACTTTTTTTAATTATTTTTATTTTTTATAGTTTTTTATATTTTTAATTTTTTTAATAAATTTTTTGGCCAATCGCTATTTTTATTTTTTTGACCAATCATTGAAGGCGTCACGTGATTTATCTCCACTTTAGATGACCCCCAAAACTGGCAAGTTTGTCGCTAAATCGAAAAGTAAATCTGTGTAACCAAAACTTAGATTATCTTAGGGTTGAAAGAGGTGTGTTAGATTTGGTTAAGTGGGTTAGTTTAGTTTTGAGACAGAACCAGGGTTTAATATAGTTTAGGTAGGATTGGTAATGAAGATGTATATTAAATATTAGGTTGGATATACAAGACTTAGAAGTGTATAATTTTATTAAAAGTAATTTAATCGATATATAAAAAGTGATGGATTTATTATAGATAATAATAATTGTATTATAAAAGGATTTTTAATAAACACAAAAGTGGGAGTTACTTTTCACCAGAGCTCAAAGGCTTTTGTTTATAATTAATTCTTTATTTACTTTGTATATACAGAATTCACTATTTTGCCAAAATTACTTTTATTACTGTAATTATTGTAATTATTAAATTCGTCTTACTGTATTCCTCCGAAAATAAGCACACCTGAAAGTAAGCACCCCTACAATTTATATATATCCAAAAATAAGCACCTCTTATATAATAGTAATAAGTAACTAAATATCAAATCATTCAAATTATTAGTTGAGATTATACCCAAAAATAAGCACCCTTATAGCAAAAAAGTAGTGCTTATTTTCGGAGGAATACAGTAATTCTCATAATTCTGGAAATTCTAAAAATCTCTAGAATTCTTGCAGTAAATCCAAATTTGGAATTCCCAGGTTATGTAGCTATGTGCCTGCAGTCAGGTTACATTTCCAGTCTTATACTATAATATTATAATAATATATAATTAAATAGTTATACAACACAATTATACCAAACCAGGAATAGAGCTAAAAACCAGAAACTTAATTAATAATCTTATAATTTTTATATCTTTAGGTGCTGGACTTTTATTTTAACAATAAAAAATTACTAAAATTATTAACAGTAATAATTGCTAATAATCATGTGATTATATTAGAAAACTGCATATTAAAGTATATGTAAAATTATAATAAAATTAAACCTTAAAGTTTGACAAATTTTGAAATAGAGAATGATACTGCACTGAACATTATTAAGTAGTTTCTAGTTAATAACTTGGCTAATTGATTAATAATTATTAATTATTGTCATTATTAATTCAATAGGTCCTAACACTAGGTGCAGGTACAAATAATCATAACAATAGTAAAGTTATATTTTAATTTAGGCCATTTGAAATTGATTCTTCATTTAACATTACCACCTCCATTTCTGAGTCCCCCAAAAATTAAACAAATAGAAGAGACAGATTGATCAATATAAGAGCCAGTGTGGCCACTGGAATTTTTTGGTATACCATGTTTAATTTTTCTCTCTCCTAATTGTGCAAACGCGAAAAAAATAACATTAAACGAAAATTCAATTTCAAATGGCCTTATTATATTCTATACTAAAAATTTCTTAAAACTTCTATTGCTTATTTTAATAGCATTTTTACCAAGATTTTGCAAATAATTTGATAAATTAATAAGTATAATAATAGATAATTTTTAATAATCAATATACATTTTAAAAATAGGATATTTAAATTTGTAGATATACATTATATTTACATTATATTAATTTCACAGTAATCTAGTTCAAGTAAGTATATTAGATATTATTTTAAGTAAAATGAAACTTTAATCATATAAATTCTGGATGATTGAAGTCACATTAATTTAATCAAATAAACTTGATTTTATTTATTAAACTAGTTCTGCTCACTTCACCAATGCACTCTTTGTAGACACAAGACTTCATAACAAGTTTATTTTACAGACATTTAATTACTGATGATTAATTATCGACATGTTCATTTTACCAGAACATTTATTTCACCATCACTTAATTCACTAACAATTAATTCAGCAACAAGTTTAATTCAGGTAGTTTGAAGAAAGGAACTCAATTATATGATTAAATACTCAGCTTAAGTAAGGGTCAGTGTTATAGTTTAAAATTAAATTTTTGATAATATTTGAATGCTTTGTGTTTAATACTGATTTCTTTAAATTAATGACCAATCATAATTATTCATCACCATGACAGAAATATAACATAACTTGCTTTACTTTACTGTGCTTATCTTAATTCTAAAAATTACTTTAAACAATAAACACTAGCAGAATGTTATCCTATGTTATTCCACAACATTATAGTATTTTAACACATTACTGCAATAGTATTATAACTAGCTCTTAAGACCTGGTCCTTGACTGAGTTTGAGTTTCTAATTTTTTGCTAATTCTTAGGCCTTAACATTATTAATTCTTAGGCCTTAACATTATTAGCTCTTAGGCCTTAATGTTATTAGCTCTTAAGACCTGGTCCTTGACCAGGTTCAAGTTTCTAATTTTTTGCCAATTCTTAGGCCTCAATGTTATTAATTCTTAGGCCTTAACATTATTAGATTTTAGAACCTAGTCATTAACTAGGTTTTAAGTTTCTAATTTTTTGCTAATTCTTAGGCCTCAATATTATTAGCTTATCGAACCCGGTCATTAATTGGGTTTGTGTTTCTATTTTTGCTAATTCTTAGGCCTTAATATTATTAATTTTTAGGCTTTAATATTAT